CAATCGATGCAAGTACAATGTAGTATGGTGACAAGATTCCATTTATATCATTAATAAACTGAATCAATTTACACCAGAAAAGAGAAACAGCTTGTGCATCAATTTGATATCCATTAGCTAGTAGGTAATGAATAATCAAGATTGAATGGAGGAGATTGTTATAAGCAAGAGCAATAAAATAGTGAGAACACACATGGTTACGTAAATTGGGTCGAGTAAGTATAATAATGTTGATAGAGTTTCCCACTACACCCACAACGATAATGATAGGTAAGAGAATTCGTGCCAGTTGAATGGAAATTTCATCGAACGAGTCAGACATTTTCACTTGTTCAAATTCTTCTCAAATGAAGAGAAATATATTTTCTTAGTAGCTTATCGACCTACGTTTTTCTTCTCAGATTTATCATAATACTAAATTTAGAAATGAAGAATTTCATGTCATGTCAAGCTACTTATATTCTTTTCTCTCTCTATATATTTATTGTGCCATACAAAAGTTTTGCTTCACAATGAAGTTAATAAAATCCATTTTGAGATATAAGAATAAAAAGAAAAAAGAGAAGAAGAAAGAAAGTATAAAGAGCAACAACTAAATAAAGACAAATGATGACGATGATAATAAGAGAGGTAGAGAAGAGGAAAGATATACAAAGAATAGAGAAACTTTATATCAGTGTACATAAAGAAAAACACATATGAGTATAATCACGAGTGAGAACAACCATAACTTTATTTACTTACAGGGAAGAAGACAAAAAATATTTAAATACAAAAGTATTTAGCATATTTGTGGAACTCCTAAAGCAGTCATATTGCTTGATATGGACACCATCAAATTCAGACCAATCAATAAGACAGTGCTTGGCCTGCCTAACTAATCTGTGAAGGAACACACTATTCTTTCGAAAACCCATTTCCTTGTACCAATCAGAGCCCAATATGGGTCAAAATTTTCTGACTGAATCCAACCCAAGATCAAATATGCTTTTAGGCCAATTAAAGCAAGCTGTTTTCAGAGATTAAGCGTTTTTTTTAATGCATCGGTACAAATACTCACAAAATTGATAAGAACGAAGTCATTATCTCATCTAGAACTCGTGTTTTTCTTATGCAAACCTCGACATCGATCAATTTATTCTGCCCATGTAATCATAAAATGCATTTTTAACGCGTTTAAACGCGCCTGGAATTGAAACAGCCTCCAAACGCATTGAAATGCGTTCATCAAGGGGGGTGTTTGAACGCCTTGCAAAGTCTTGCATGCATTCAGATGCGTTTCGTGACTAAAACGCATCACAACTGATTTACAGTATTTTTTAAACGCGTTTCAATGCAATTCCTTTTACTTTTGCACCCGAATGCGCTTTCCCTATATGCAACTAATGCTTTTGAGTTCCAATCGTGCATGTAAATGTGGTTTCTCTTTCTGTTTTGCATAGACAAGATGCATCTGAACGCGTTTCTAGCTGCATGTCCACATAGTGCTATCAATAATGCAGGTTACTTCGTCACAGTACGCGTGACTAGATCTCAAACAGTAAATTGAACTACATATTTTTTATTTAAAAAAGCATAAAAATTATATAGTTAATTATATAGATGACATATTTAAGTCTTACTGCGTTTCGAATTCTTAAATAGGACTCTTCTCGATAATCTGCAGTTTCAAATATCAGTGGCTAGCATTGTATGATACAGAATATAAACACAAATAGTTGGATACAAGAAATCTCATCAGATTTATGTTCAGCATATAAAGTTATGAAGACTTAGTTAATCTGTGAAATAGAAACAAATGAGTACACGTATCAAATTTTGAAATGTACAGAACATTCATTCGAAAACGGTATTACAATAATATTATTTTGCTACATATCACTACCAGCACTTTTCTTTCACGAAAGCAATTTCGCTCTTGTATAACACATATGTTAAGCGTAGCAATTTAAATTTCAAAATAAATAAAATTTAAGTATTAAGCAAAAATGTCCATTTTAACTCAAACATGAAGTTCAAAGTTAGTTTCTATGTAAACCTATTAGAGATACAAACAGATAAGAAGTAGAAGAAACGAATGAATCTGGATGTAGCTCAGACACAATGGTAGAGTTGCTTTTAAACACAACTTGAAACAGAATTGCGTCTGAATGTGGCTAAAAACAACTTAAAATAGCGTCTAAATGCAGTCAGAACACAAAATGTGCATTCAGACACTATTGCCATCGGACGTTTAGATGCGTCCATGTGCAACAAATATTTTATTTGGGTTGGTTATGAACGCATTTACAATACATTTAATGTTTATCTGTTAAAGTCTAAAGTTTTTTCTGCTTCTTCATATACGAATTCTTACACTAAAGAGTCATATGAGACAGAAGAAACAAAATGCATATAATCGTCTACAAAATTCTCAATTCTTTAAATTTACTTTCTTCAATTTCCACTATTTTTTTTTGAAAAGTAAATTCTATAAAATTTATCTTCACCTTGCTATGATTAAAAATTTCATTCAGAGTAAAAAAGAAAAAGAAAAAATAATTACTTAATTTGAATTTAAAATTTAAATTAATTTTTTTTTACTTTAAAAAGACAAAAAAGTTAAGATGCTGGACCCATTGAGCATTTATTGAATAAGCAATTAATTATCGAAAAAACCGTTTTTCTTGTATTCTGTGATCCAAAAACTATAATTACTGTTTTTATAAAGTTAATCATATGTAACCGATGTCATGTATGCAATTTTAAGTGACACTGATAAATTAAAAAAATGAAAATATGTCAAAGTTTATATAATTTAATGAAGCAATTACTATAAATTGATCTTTTTCTCTATAAAAAGTCACATGATAATAACAGAAAAGACTGTACGAGTATTTATAGCTTCGTAGTAAGTTCAATGTCTTTCATTCTGTAGGCATCATGATCGAATCTCGTTTATTGCATTCTATTCAATAACTTAATAATGTGTTAAATTGAAATAAAAATATCACGTAGCGATGAAAATGGATCGATACCATGATATAGAGAACAATTTTTTAAAATTTAACAAATTTTGGACATCCAAAAACGCGTTTCGATGCGTCTAACAATAAACAACGTCAGGATGCGTTTCTCTATTAGAACACGTTAGGACACCCAAACGTGGCACAAACTTAAACGCGTTTGTCCGCGTTTCAAACTGGTATCGCGTTAGAACACCCGAAAATGTTGCATTTTGGATGCATCCAGACGCGTGAAATTATATTGTTGATAAACGTTCGGGGACGCGTCGAAAATTAAAAATTGGATACATGGGTTATTCGAAATAAAAATTATCCGTAAAAAGTCCAGAACAGATATTTAACACTTTATCTTTTTTTCGTCATCTTATTTTTCTTATTTATTTTATTAGCTGTTGTTTTCGATGAATTAAAACAACATTTGTGATTGCATCGTTTGTTAATATGCTTAGTCAGGAAACAATAGAGTGACATTTAGATATTCTTAGGCAAAGTGCTAGAGACTTCTCATAGCAATTATGTCAATTATTTTCTCCTTTTTCACTGTTATCAATGGAAAAGAAGTATCATTCGTCACTTTCACCCGTACCTTAGTAAGAAAAGCAAGTTGAGATCTAGCCTGTTCCATTCAAGTGCTTCTGCACAGAAACTACAAGTGAAGCGATTTCGATCTGACTGTTATGAATTGTCTCTCGTTTTTTTTAGTTAACAAGAATCGAAAAGTCCAACAAAAGAAAGGGTAACGAAAAAAACACGGGTGACTGATCCACGGAAGAAGACAAATCAAACAAGGACGAGAACAGCAAAGAGAGTCTTGGTCCATTTCAAAAGCGTTAAAACTACATAGACAGAAAGAAACTTCAAATATGAGATCAAAAAAGGAAATGGTATAAGAGAGTGGATGACTTAACACTCTTTATCAGATATTTACCATTTTATCTGAGATAGATGATTTTTGAAAATGGCACTGTGAAAGTTATTCGTTAATTGAAAAGGCAATCACGACGTCGTTCATGCGAGAAATTCCGAAAATCAAACAACTACTGATCCATTCGTCTTTTCTCTCTAGGTAATATTTTCCATTTTCTAGCGTTTCTCAAACTAGTCACTGCAACTTTGCCTTCTTATTCTACGGATCAGACAGTTTTTTTGCTTTGAGTGTGGGTGCGTATGCGCGACAGTGGTGGCTATGGCGGGTGTCTGGATTATTCTATTTCACACCCACACTCTAGACTATAATCAGCAAAGAAAATGGAAGAACTGAACAATAGGTATATCCGAACATCCGATAAATACTGTTACCTTGAGAGGTGAGTTGAGACGTAGATGTGAGTGCCAGTAAGAAAGAAATGAACAACATCTTCACTCATACATACTGTTTGTCTTCTCTTTTGTTCGTTTTACCTTTTTTTAAACATAATATTACAAAACAAAATATATCACAAGATTCGGCGTGAAATGCTCCACAATTGAGAAACAGCAACTTATTTTATATATACGTCTTTTCGTGTTAAAATGGACAATCACAAATCGCAATTATATAATTGATATTGGTTGAAAAGAAGAAATGCAATCCGGAGTTTTTCGAAAATCGGTTGCATAGGATGTTGTCCATTCCGAAAATAGAAAGTGTATATATAGAATAAACTTTTTTTTGTATATTGCAGAGCTTTTCACATTGCGTCTTGTGGTATAATTTTGTTTCTTTTTAACAGAACATATTATGTGTTTGAAATTTAAAAGACAAAATACGGTCATTTACTCAGTCCAATCCGTTACAAATTGACTGTCAGTTAATTAGTTTGCGATAATGATTGATATAAAAATCTTTTATTCAATACCAATTAAGAAACCAAAGCAAGTTCTATCAAAGATCGAAAACTTTCGAGAACCTATAAAATATCTCGAAAAACATGACAGTACGATCCTAATTTCCTGTAGTAAGAATAAGCAACCATGACAGGTTTCGTCTTTGCTTAAAGGACTCATCAGATGGCATTATTCAAATCCATCATCATAAAATGACGACGAAACTGCAAATCTATCCCTATAAAATAGAGGAGATACAGTGTTGAAATGTATGACTACATTAAGCATAAGCAGCCATGATCGGTTTCGTTCTTGCTTAAAGGACTCATCAGATGCTATATTCTTAATGTTGTCATATATTTTAATACTGTATCTCCTCTATTTTATAGGGAGGGTGTCGGTGCGGGTGCAATTGTGGATATAGTTGAAAGATAGAACATCCACACCCATCTCTGATATATAGATGCAACCTATGAACTCTAAAATTTTTGTACGTCTAAACTATTCAGTAAAGTATTCTACTTGATATCTTTTCGAGTCTGCTTTGGTTGGATTGAAAAAAAATTAAAACTAGAAATAGGACTGGAACTGCTGAATCTATGTCAAGAAATCTTCATTTTCGAATTTTCAAATTCCAGTATATATGTATCATATATTTTTGTTTCAACAATTTAACAGTGAAATTGTCGTATCTATCAGATAACTTTCACTAACGCCTTGAGGTCTTAATCACTTGAAACGATGTTAATTAAACTGTTTCACGAGTTGTTTCACCATATTGATCTCATTCACCTGAGTTCTCCTACTATTATAACATTGGAAATGATTTCGAATTATAAAATAAATCTATTTTACTGAACTGAAACTTTACAAAAAAAAAACTCAGACCAGAATCAAACATACTTTCAGTAGGACAATCAAATCTATTCCTATTGAGTATATATTTAATCGAAAAAAAATATATAATTGATCTCTTTTTATACGACTTACTTTGAAATACTTTGTTCAATAAGTTTAGCAGCTGATGTTCGTTTTTCAGTAATTTCAGTAAACCAACGTTGATATTGTTGAGTACGCTATTGTTTTAGACAAAACGCAAAAATAAAAAAATCTTTTTTTTTTCTTAATATTTACATATTTTTCATGCTTGACTAATACAAATTTCTTCTATACATCGAATTTGAATGTTTAAATATAATTTGAAGTGTTTCCAATGAACTCGATACAGCATTATGGTCATTATATTGTAAAGAAATATAACATACCATATCAACACGCTAAAATGATTCCCATTGAAAATAAAATCATTCCTTATTTGTCGAATACTGTCTGATTGAAAGATGTTATTCATTTGTATCAATATTTTTACTTATATTTATTTGTTATTGACTATTGCTTGATAATGATTGGAATTCTTACATATTTAAACCAAGTAACTGAATAAGAGGGTGGGTGTGTGGGTGGGTGTGCGTGTGGGATGTGTGGGTGTTGGTGGGGTGGGTGGGGCGTGGGTGTGGGGTGGCTGGGTGTGATTGTGAGTGGGTGTGGGTGGGTGTGGGTGCTAATGAAATAAGATAGACACGCATACCCCACACCCACCCAAACCCAATTTGCGAATTTCTTTCGTTTATTTTTGTATTCGTTGGTGAGTTTTGGTTCGATTTTCATTTTGTAGGCATGACGTTTCAAATCTTCTTTTAATATTCGATGGGCACTTGATTTGGATATGTTGTAGTCTATGGCCAAACTCCGTGCGGATACCAACTTGTTTTGGTCGAGTTTGTGCTTGACTTTTTGAATCGTTTTACTTGTTTGTGCAAGACGTGGGACCCCGGCGATGTTGATAACTGGATAGAACCAGTGTCACGAATCATCTTGCATCATCTTTTTATAGTACGCAATCCCACGAAACTATTCAGATCACAAAAGATCTTGGTGGGACCATCACTATCTTCATATTTACAAAAAAATAGTTTTTGAAGATTTTTACTTTTCATCTTATAACAAAGGCAATATACATTTGAATTAAATACGAATTATAGATACTTGTAGAGGATAACAAGAGAAATCTTTAAAAAAAATTAAGGTTGAACGAATAAGAATTGATGAAGATGTCGGTAAAATACTGAAAGGGCCATTCTTTCTGGGATACCCGCTATTTTAACATTTTTGGTTTTCAACGGCGCATCTGTATATTTTCATCATAAGCGCCTCTTTAAATCCTCTCCTAAACTCTTGTACTGTGTGATAACATCTCCGAAGCTCTTTCCTAAACCCTTATAAAATGGTTTATAAAAACTTTCATACAGAGTAAAAAAACTGGTTTATTATACGTTGCACTTTCATAAGCCCTTTAAGGGTTTATTATTCTACGCTTTCTTTTTACAGTGATGGATATTCACTTCAACAACACCCGCACTCACATTCATCTGCACTGACACCTACACGACACCCTCACACCCAATATCTACACCCATACCCCAAGTTACAGCAGCCGTCAATAATTTCTATATGGTTTAGATTTTATATATTCTGATGATTAGATTTTGTATATTTAAAGTCTATCGACAAAAGTCAGATAGTTCACTGATTATTAACCACCCAGCTTTTACAGAATGGAGGTGATCGTCATTTCAATAAGATCCTTTCGAATAACTATTCATCAATCTCGTATGTATTTTTCTGACTTTTATTCTCCAGAGTAGTAAATAGGAAGAGGACAGAAAATAATCTCCATACATCAGAGAAGAATTATATGATGAGAATTCATTTTCGACATTGGTTAAGAGGGTATGGGTGTGGGGATGTGAATGTGGGTGTTTTCTTCTTTACACACACACCCACATTCTCAAATACAACTAAGCCAATTTTTAGAAATCTCGTTTTTCTGCGATAATACAAAAGAAAATCTGTTGAATCATAACAGAATTCAATCTGTCAACTCGGATCTTTCCTGAAATTGATTTCGTATTTATATACTGTCACTATTCAGAACATGTCTATTATTGTTTCTTGTTAACATCGTTTGATAAAAACAAATAGTTATACTAGTATATTTAATGAATTATTAATTAGCAACGACATAGAAATATTTGATATATTTCAATTCAAAAACTGACTTTATTGACTCTTTTATGGATATGATTATTTTTACATGAATGAATTCGGCTGTTTTACTAAAAGAAAAATTTTTAATCAGTTTTAAATCTTTTTCTAATAAAAAAAAGGAAACTTACTCAGATGAAACAACAAGATCAACAAAATTATGATTGATATCCGTTGAATATTCATTATCTTAAATTAATCATGTTTATCTTATTTTTTGAAGTTAAAGAAAATTTAACTTACCGTTTGAGATTCCCAATTCTGCTACATCTAAACATACAAAAAATTTATATTTTAAAAGCATTATTTTTTATTCTGCGAGGGAACTACATGAATTGATCTTCATCATTTGAACTCATATTAGGCTAAATGATAGAAACTCGATAACAATGGAAAAAGACTTGAAAGGAATCGTGCCTGTGAACCAATTTAGTGAATTGACTTGAATTTATCAGAGAACAAAAAAAAAGAATATTCGTCAACATAGGGACAATACATGATTTCATTTCGTGTTATTCTTTTTCTTTATCTCTTAAAATGGAGGTGTTTTGCATTGTAAGTTTACACTCAGCAATTTTTGTTCGAGGAGTTGAAGTTTCAGATAAACAATTGCTTTTATCGATATGATTCAGTCCTAGATATGCATTAAAGCCTAAACTATTTCGGTTTGGTGAGTTTAGTCTAATGAGTTTGAGTCATTTTTTAATTATCATATATATATATAATTTCACTTTGAGTAGGAGGACTATTTTCAAGTTAAATATTCAATGTTTTAAATGAAAATTTATTTTCTTCTCTAATTTTTCGTAGACAAAAAAAAAGAAAAACATATTATAGGAATAATGTTCTTAATCTTGATGGTCATTTTCTTTTCGTCGATCACCAAATGACAAGTAAATCGATGGATAGAATTCTCTTGAATATCGACAGGTAAAATCATATGATTTAAGACGATGCGTATGTTTTATTAACCAATCAATTGATACACCTTTATAAATAGTCATACAATCATCATCAAGATCACCATCATCAAAGTATGTATCAAGATTCTCGAGTCCATTAAATCGATCAATAACATCAATAATCATTTGTTTTGATGCCACGGATATTTCCAACCGTTCAACAGATGATATTGTATAAGAAAGTCTGTCAAGAGAAATTGATCGACCAAGACCATCTAATAGGAGATAACGAATTTGTGAAGGTATAATGAATAATGGATCGAATTTCATTGATAAATGAACGACACGAGGAGTATGAGCAATAAGATTTTCAAGTTCATTAGGTAACAAACGATTAATGTTGCTTACATCGAGATATTGAACTTGTTGAAGATCAACAATCGATGATAGAATATTTAATGATAATAATGATGAACCTGAAAGTGTCAACGATTTAACTTGATGAAAACGATAATCGACTGGTGTAATTAATTTATTCATATCAAAAGAGAAATAATTGATTCTGCTTGAATAGAAAAAGTTTTGTTCAATAATCGATGGTGCTGTTGTCATATGTGGAAATTTAGCTGAAGGATACTTAAGTGTACGTGTTTGAAATCGAGGTATTGAATAGATAATTGTGCCTTTCTCTGTTTCATCTTGATAACATCCAACATACCAATGTCGTTGTTCAAGCCAAAATAATGAACGAAATGGTTCTAGTATGGATGAAATTTCCAAAATAAGATTAAACGTGAATTTGAAATTAAATCGAATAATTTGTGTTTTCAAAAGTAATTGTTCCCATCGATTAAATCCCATGAACCAGTTGCTTGACAAGTGAACTTTATCAATTGAGACAATTTAATAAGACATCGTTCAAGACATAGAAATGATATTTGAATACCTAAAATATTAGATTGAAAATGAAAAATTAATTTTTTTTTACCTTGATAAAAGTGTAATGTAAGATGAGTGAGACAATGAGAGAATCGATCAAGATTAAATGTCGAATATTGAATTTTATTATCGATAACAAGATAAAGATGAGTAAGAAAACATTGCCATTGTTGAATTAATGAATGAACATCGATATTCTCTAATAGAACAGACACATCGATATAGTTACCATCGTAATAATATCCTCCACTAATAATCAAATAGGTAAGAGCTGGAAAATGAATGTCAATAAGATCATATAAATCTTTACTATCAATTTTTAAATGAGTTAACACTTTTGCTTGTTGAGATAAGATTTTACTAATGTAATTTTCGTAATAATAATCATCAACATCATAAATTCTAATTGATAGCGATGATACGGATGCGGGTAAATCGATGAAAGTAATAGTTTCAGCTTCGATTAATGTTATAGACTGAAGTTGAAGAAATTGTTCTTTAAAATGTGGAAAATGATTAAGGAAAAGTTTCACTCGATCGGGAACATATTCATCACAAAGAATCAATGAAATAACTTGTTTTGGTTGAAGATGACGACAAATAAAATCGAATTTTGATCGACAGATTGATCGAAAATCCAATCGAAGTGGATATGAATAAACAATAGCATTTAGACGATTATTGAGATTGATGAAAATTCGAAATAAATCGAATGGAGATAAATAATCAAACAATTCAAATAATAATTCGATAGAAAGAGATTCAAATGATGAATTCATTTTCTATTATTGATATGAACTATCTAGAAAATAGAAGAAAATTTTTTGTGAATGTCTAGAACACAAATTGTTGATTTTCAACAATAGTATTATGAGCTTTTATTCTCACCAATATATCTTCATGCAAACAATCCATCGAATGTGTCTTTCTTGCATCGTCAAAAAATCAAGCATATATCAAACAATAGAAACCAAACGAGACAGAGACGGAATTTATAAGAAGGGATCTATTGTGGCTGATAGATATGATAAGAAAATGTCTTCTATCACTGTTTGTTATATGAGAAAGTCTTTATTATGAACACAACTTAGACATGATCTAAATGAATTCTGCTTATATATGTTTCACTTCACTACTCCAAGATCAATTACGTGGTTCATACTCGAGTAAATCGACAGATCAAAATTGGGTATTTCTACGAGTTAGATGAAACTTCATGTCAATCAATCATATACAGTTAAGAAAATGATACAAATCTCAGAGAAAAACATCTGAAGTTATATATAAGAACATGTTTCTATCACTAGTAACCATTTATTGGTCACACTAATATGATACATATATACTTTATTGGTCATAGTAGAAGAACGAATTGCAGAACGAGATTTTATAGGGAGCGCTCGTTCAAGGACATTTGTTCTGTGAATAGATTCTTTAGTGGCTATTGATCTTAGGCAAAGATAAAAAATGATAAAGTGATTTCAAATCGTAATAAAAATAGTGATGCGAAATGGTGACAAATAATGACAGAAAAATGCTTTTCATGTAATCCATTAATTAATCCATTTCCTGTTGGTCATTTTGTATTTATTCTCACATTGATACATATATGAATTTGGCATATAAATTGAAATTAATTGCTTCAATCGATCAGCATTGAATATTTCTGTACTAAAACTGAAATGTCGGATAGAGTATGATGTAATACGTAGAACTTCAATTTGAAAGACACATTTGTCAAATAATCTAACATAATCGAACTTCTGTTTATTCGACTATTTCCATATTCATATAAAGACCAAATGATAAACGACATAGTAGTTGTTGAACATATGATCAAGTTAATTAATCAAAATCGTATTGTTGATGAAGAGATATTCTAGAAGACTGAATTCATTCGTAGCAATAAACAGTGATTTTGACAATATTTCAATGGAAGTAAACGAAATATTTTATAGATAAATTCATTTGAGAGATTATCAAAAACAGTAACATACTCTTTTGTCAGACTAAAAAAAAACAAGATGGAGATATAAAATATTCTCTTTCATATTTTTGATAATAGACAACTATCGAAAATAAATAACGTGATTGAAACAATGAAAAAATACGATAGATAGATGAGAAACAATTTGAATTCTCTGATCCAAAACCTTAAAAAAAATGCTTTTAGATCTATAGGTAAATACTTTATTATTTTGAATGAAAACAATAATATTTAACAGCCACGTTTTTTTTTCATACATAAAAGACATTTTCCCGCTATAAATAAAAATTATATTTTGTCTTTAATTTTGAGAACGAGAACTCTGAAATCCTAATCGAACTATTATAAACAAAGGATCTGGATAAGTATGGATGTAAGTTACAATGAACAAAACATCCATACTTGCATCTATGCACCTCCATATATTATTGAACATAAACAAGTTCAACATTCAAAATGAGATCCATAAAAATATTCATGATTTTTTTTTATATTCTTTCTATTATCAAAAATAAAATAATGTCAAGAAAGTAGATCGACTTTCTAGTAAGAAAAAGAAAGAGAGTTTCTTGATCAGAACTGTACAATAGCAGACGAAAATAATATAGAGTTTTTTGTATAGTTTAATGTTACATTTGAATATTTTCCCAAAGAGACTTTCTTTTGAAACAATGATTACTTTCGATGTTGTAACGTAGATAAATAATTTTTAAAAATATACCCTTTCGACTATATAAATAATAATGATAATAGAGGGTGTGGGTGTGAATAATAATCACATGAAGCTGCACCCACACCTACATATAGTAGTTACCTAAACGGTGATGCTTCCTATTACGGCTCATTGTTATCACAATTCAGCACTAATAATAGCTCAAACTATCAAAGCAAAATCTATTCTCGTCTAGAATTATAAAATACACCGAACTCATTTTCTAGCTATAATAAATCTTCAGACATTTATCAAAACTAAACGGGCTAAGCAGCATGCCATTGAAAAATGGTTGTTGTACTTTAAAATAGAAACCACTACATCTCTCTTTCGAGATAATTTCACAACGAGTGAAGTACTCAAGCGTAGAAACAAAGATTGAATAAAAATTAGAATCAAATCTTACTCCTACTGTGCTGCAGTTAATGCACTAAAATTCTTCACATGATATGGTGCCATTCGCTAAGACAACAAAAACAAATATTAAGTAATAAGATAAAATTATTTTTTCAATTATGATAGACGTTCTGTACCTATCGATTTTAGTTTCGAAAGACTATTATCACAATTCTGTAGACATTTACGAGAACTCTGATTATTTGCACATTTTGATTTAAATCCAACAATTGAACAGACGATAGCATCAAACTCAAAACTATCGAAAAACCTGATACACTTAACATTAGTAGCAGCCGAAGTTTTTACACTTCGGATTATGATCGCAAGACTACATTCGGCATGAGTGCTGTTACTAAAGATAAGATCATTAACAACTCATTTAACTATCATTTGAAGGATATAGTTCTTCTTTTATATATGATGATTAATTTGAATGAATTAAATCTGTCTATTGTGAATACTAATGATCGCTCTAGTAGTAGTTTTACTAATGACAATTCGAAGAATGAAAACAAAAAATTGCATGTAGAGTCAGTATTTTCAGGATATAGGTCGTCAAACTATTAAAGTATTCAAAATTTTTCTTTGTTATTTAAAAATCAACTAAAATTCATTAGTTTGATTGTATTTAATAGTTTTGAAAAAAAATTTACTAATCTAAATGGATTTTAAGAGAACTTTCCTCATCTGATATCATTTCAATATTACATTCATACACATCAAAGTTTCAATAATTTAAATCATTGATGAAGATTAGAAAAGAGAATGAGACTTGATGTACTGTGCTATGATGATGTAACTTCACTTGAATTCGTTGACGGTCACGAGCACAAGAGAACATATAAATTACTCGATTAATTGAAATTTGCTATATTAACGGTGATGATTGAAAATAAAATACATCTGTTTTTAAGATTTTACATTCACTCTTAATTTTATCATCAAACTTAAAGATATTTTACTTAGGTGCTCAGACATTCCAACAGTTTATCTACATAGTTAAACTTCTTCCAATTTCTTCATTGAAAAATTTAACTGCATTTTTAAGGTGAAAAATCTCATAACAATTAAATTATGATTTTAACTTTTTCTCTTACTCTTTTTTTTTTACATGAGTAATGTGAAGAATAAATATATATTTAGAAAGTGCTCACTACAAAATAAAAAGTTAATGTTATGTGTCATATTCAAGTCAGTTCTTTTGAGCTTCGAAAACTAATTTCCGCCATCGAGATAATCCATTTTCATCTTCGTTGAATCGATGATAGGCATTGTCAGCAACTTTCCAGTCTGCCGAAATTCGTTTGGGTGGTTGGCCATCTTGAGGTTGCTTTATACCCCACCATCGCCATTTACAATTGTTAAAAGCACATGTTTTCGGTTTGGCATAGTGATCACATGTTGGGCACTTCGATACATTAGCTTTGGTGCCACCAACAAGATCGAATTGTCCAAATCCGATATTAATAATTACTGTCTTTTGATAGGCTTCACAATGTGTATTGGTACACAGAGCCTCAAGACAAAGGCCATGATTCGCTGAGTGCAAATCAGGACAATCGGAACCCCATTCATGACGTTTGAGACCACCAGTATCGCTCGCATCGACAAAATATAGACCTAACTTATTATGAACAGCAACACCATTGGCAAAATATGTGTGCGGCTTGGTAGTACGCAAGTTGTAGACACGTGTCGCTGGAGCAACAATAGTTTTCTTGCTTATGATTGGCTTTGTTTGAAGACAGCCATCGACCAAATTGTAGATGCAATCGTTGATGCGAAGCTTTCTAAGTGCACAAAAGTTACCATTACCGATGTAGAATGGATGTTCTTCTGTTACGCACAGTACATTTTTCCCAGCATTTAATTCGATGTACTCATCAATATCATGAACAAATATTTCTTCAACTGATGTAGTGACCATCTCGCCAAACAATGTAAATGCAACTAAACTGTCACCGACTTGAATCTCGCTTATGTGTTTTGTGGTTCCATCAGAAAGCGAAATGAGTGTATCGGATAGGAAACAGCCATCTCGAAATTTCTTGATTAGGTGTAACGTGAAGTCTAAATTTAATAAAATTTCATCAGAAATATGAATAAAAAGTATACAGAGTGATCCATAGAGTGATTGACTTAAAAGATTTAGATTTTAAAAATTTATGAAAAGGTAACAGAAACGTGCATTTACATTCATAGATATGATTTTCTTATCACACATTGTTGGTCGGCAGTCTGAATATGTCCTAGTTTAGATGAAACAGCAAGCAAAAATAAAACATTTTAAATACTGGAACTTCACATTGAAAGCCTAATCATTAGAAAATTTCATTTGAATGAAATATGAGGCCTCTCAGTCATTTTTAAATGCACTGTAACGGAACTCATCGAACTCACTTTTAACATATTCACTACAAAAATATAGAGGATGCTGTTCCTTGATATTGTAAGTTTGATATTTTTCTTCCAACTATCAATGCTAATACTTTAATACCTATTTACTATTGTTGCATTCTTAATTTGTACGCTCTTGAGCTTATCTCAGACATTTGAAGTTGTCAACCAATAAGTTACAAGCAATTGAGATATCAATGTAAGTATACGATTTTATCATCTCATTCGAAATTTTCACAGTTGGAAATGCCAAAAATCATTCTGTAGGATGATCGTTTATGCTCGTTAATTACGTTTCTGATTAGTTCTCATTTTATGTACGATTCATCTCTCTATCATTGAATTCTTCAGCTGTAAGTTTATAATAAAATACTTTTACACACTACATACCTTGACGAACGCCTAAATCGGACAGAATTCGCTGATCTTCAAGCTGAACATTAGCGAATAACAGACGTTGTTGAGCAGTTGCTATACCCGTTCTGTCTTCAATCTTGCGTTTGATGTCTTCGATCGTACTGCTGGCCTCACATTCGATTGTAATAGAACTACCAGCTGCCAAATACACGAAGATTTGCATTGTCGTGTATGTAACGAGCGAATATATAACTAGAATATTCTACAAATAAAGCAAAACAAAGAGATGAAAGATCATCGCTTTAATAATATGGCTATGTGATGATGAATGACTCAGATGATGTATCTTAATAGGATAGCTAACATCAATCATGTCATTCACTTAGTGGCAGATGGTAAAATACCATGAACAGAAAAAAACACAAAAAAAAAAAAAAGAACCGTAGAAAAACAATCAATAAATGAATTGATGTATTGAGAAGAAAACTACGACTTTCTCGTCGTTCAAATATGTTCTGTATAATTACTAAGGAGAAGTCTGATGCAAGATGTTGCGTACAAATCCAAATAAAACACTTTAGCGGGTTGAGCGCAATTGTGTGGGTCTCGTCAGTGTTGAATTTGACTATAGATGTCGATTGGATGTCAATGAGGAAATGTTTACTCATAACCACACATACATTTCACATTCACACCCATCGCATTTTGATGGCCAGATAAAATTAGCTACTAAAATTAATGAAAAAAATTTTTCTTCTCATCGAAAAACCAGACTAACTTACCACAATAATATCAAAGAATGTACTATCTGCAACTTTGAATTTTTGTATAAACACTTTAGTCCATTCAATAATATTATTCGTTCTAAACATGAACATTTATCAAATTTTTATCATCGAATTTTTTTTTCGCGAAATTGATATGAATATCTGTCAACAAACATATTGGCATATTCAAAAAAAAAACATTCATTAGTACAAGTTAACAATATAGTTATACAAAGTTTTTATTCAAATTCACGTTGTATATCAGATAGACTGATACAATTAATATTAATTTTCACTTATTCACAATTAATGTGAATAATGCATTGAAAAATATGGAACATAATGAGATTGGAAAACAATATGCAAATTTGCCGATAGATACACTTGAGTATTCCAACAACAAGAAAGAACATTTCAAGCGTTGTATTCATTATCTATTGTCTAGTCTCCTAAAAATAAAACTTACCATTTCGACTCATAAATATCTTTATAAGGATCATCATTGTCGACGACGAGATGAGTTATTTCACGATATACAAATTGATGATCGAAAAAGAAAAAAAAAATAAATAAATTGACTTATTAGAATTGCACATATGAAATTTTAATTTATGGTTTTAGGCCAGAATCATTGACATTAGATGGTGGAATAGATCCATCAATGTCGTCTATTGTTGAATAAGAGTGAAAATACTGAATCTGAATAGAAAAGTAAGATCTAAACATTCAGCATTGTCAACTATTTAGCTATATCATCTGTATTGAATTCTTACCCATCATCAGATATGTGTTTCATACTGGAGTTTGAAGTAGCCTATACGAAAGAATCAATTAGTTATTTTTTTCCAAGGCATCAGCTGTCCTATGAAGAGAAAGAAAAAGAACAACTTAAATAGTTACATTTCAGTCAGACAAAACTATTGAAAATATATGTTTTTATGGTTTAAAAAATATTTCTTTTGTGAAAGAACAGCTACTCTCAAGATGCTGATGTTCACAAAATTGTTTGTTTTTACAAAAACAAAAATCATTTTTTTTCTTTTGTTTTCAAGGTAAAAAACAAAAATTTTAATGTGTTTACATGGGTGTGGGGTGCGGGTGTATTTATGGGTGTGTTTCTTTCCTTCATTTACACCCACATCCCGCATCCAATGATTTTAGTTTTTATCGTAGCAAGGAAGATAGATTAGCAAGGTGAATGGATCCATAGGTGGCGCGCCAGCAATGCAATAGTTAGCAATTGCAACCCCTAAAATAAATTATTGGAATCAATAAGAACTTATTGCTTCCTCTAATTTTTCACGCTTTCCGTATATTCTAGAGTAAAACTACTTTATTCAACATATGTATACTCGATGTGATTCTGTATTTTATGTATGAAGATCGAATTTTAATCTCAGAAATTGTTTATTGCTATCCTGATGTATCTGTTTCCCGTAATATATATCAGGTATCCCACAATAATGACCAATTTTTCTATCTCATATTTTAATCTTTAAATACGTTTTTAAAAAGCACAGAAAATAGCACTAGATACAGCGTAAAGATCTCTGTAGCTACTAAGGAAAGCTTATTTTAATTGTATACTTGGTATTTTCAAAATAAGTGGAATTCTGCGCAATCAATTTTCGACGCTGCGCAAAACAGTCTCAGAGAATTTTGTTTTTTTCAAAACACAAAGTATATAATTAAAAAAGCTTTACTTTGTACACTGTAGAACTTTTTACGCTATATCTTGAGGTATATGCGATAAAACCAATCGGGTGATAAAAGAATGAAATGAGAAAAAAATGATTTGCTTACTGGAATAGAAAAATGATCTTTTAAGTACAATAGAAATTATTCTTACAGAATTTTGCTTTTTTTGGAAAATAAAAATTACACAACCAAAGTATGCTTTACTTTGCGGATTGTAGATCTTTTCACGCTGCATCTTCTGGTGTATTATACTTTTTTTAAAGGAAACATTTTAAGAGATTGTTATGTTCGATAGTTAGGTGTATAGGCGTGTGTGTGTTCGATGTCTGTTAGAACATAACTGACTAGCTGTTTATTCAACAAAAAAACATGTATGTGTATAATAAAAGAAAAAACAAGGACTAGAACGAAGTGAGAAAGAAATAAACACGAAAATAGATGTCATGACCAACACATATCATAACACCCTTCCCCTTGAAGAAAAAAGTTTTGTTCACAAACACTTTTTACTGAAAGAACATATGAAAATAACAAGAAAGAAGAAAGAAAAAAAAAACATTTATACAATATCAATAATGTCTGACAAAAAAAAAATATATAACGAAAGACAAATGAAAAGAAAATATCTGTTGGACAAACAAAATCTGATAGATGAAGAAGAAAAAAAAGAAAAAAAAACCGGAATAAGTTACCGTTCGAATTAATGATCACCTTCTAAATCTCCAATAATTCCTTGTGTTGAAACAATTGTATGGGAATATTTCTTCATAATCACGTCGAGCTTTATCAGTTTTAACACCTATAATCACTTGATCATCTTGAAATTTTACATGTCGATATTGTACACCATAATATCGAAGAACTTTTTTAACGATTCTTGGTTTAAATCGATAATAATATGATCTTGTTAAATAATATTTATATCGAAGTGATCTTAATTTGTTGTTTCTTTTTCGGTTCTTTTTTTGTTTTGCTTGAAGTGATCGTTTTTTCTTGATTCGTTGTTGATGATGTTCATTTGGATTATTCATCCCGTCAACAATCACGGAGTGGTTGTTAACACTGTTCACTTGATCATCATCATCTTGTCCGAGTTCGTCTATAACTTGTAATGGTTCATCATCATTCATAACTGATAAATAATCAATATCAATCGATTCAGTTTGATCTTGTAATAAATTAATTTTATTATTATTATTATTATTATCATTATTTTGTTCATTTCTAAAATCATTTGATTCAATTAATTGATTTAAATATATCTCATCATCTGATGAAATTAATTCATAATCAGAATCCTGAATGGATGTAAATATTTTCGACAATTTTTGAATATTAATATTTTTTTCTTCTTTTTCGATTTTGGTTGACGTAATGGTGGTGGTCGTGTTGATTGAAATGTAATAAACATTTCTTCAATGCTTGATTCTTTTGTTCCTGTAAACGACCATTGTTCAGTAATTGGTCTGATGAGATAAGTTACCGCCATCACGTCGTATTTAGCATAATTTATCATTTTTGTACGTTGTGCATGTGTTAATGATGAACCAATTGAAGATAGGCCATATGACCAATGTGACATGGTACTTGTTTTATCTATAAACAAATTAAAACTATATAAAAATGCTTTCTGTAATGACCAGAGCTGCTGTTCATTGTATGGACTTGGACGATGACATGTACAAGACGATGTTGACAATTTTCGTTGATCAGCTGTACTATCATTATTCTCCATCGCCTGTTGTTCCAGGCTCTGGACCCTACATTGAGTCCGAGCCCCCTCATACCAACCAGGAAAGTGCGGCTGAAGGTTAATTAATTCTGATTTTATTGGCCATGCGAATAAATAATTTGCTGATTCAAGTTCGAGGTTCATGTCCCCCCATGAGTATATTTCATTACGTGATCTAAAAATTAATTTAAAAATTTCTTTAATTTTTACCTACAAGTGAGATTCCCGATTTGGTAATTGTGATAGTTCGATAATAAGTACTTGTGATGGTAATGTACGAGGAATTGTATGAAATTGTATAATAGATAATTCATGGTTTGATATTTCACTTTGAGTATCTACTGAATATTGATAACAATCATTAATGTGATTTAACACTT